CAAGCACACTTCCTTAATCATCATGTTGTCTTTATACAGATTCAGTACAGTTGAACAGACTGTTTTGTTATTTACATAAAACAGACTTCCAAATGAAATCACAAATAAACTGGAATGCAAAACAAAACAAACAAAAAAACCCTCTAATGTTTCAAATTTTGTGACAACTTAAGTATTTGTGCAATATTTGTCTGCCTATAAGTAAGATAGAAGTGGCAGTAATCCCTGCATTTTATTGGAGATCATCTAATTTAAAAAATAAAAGTTGACAGTTGACAGCCACTTCATGTTTTAGAAAGAAAACAGAAGATTTTGCGCATCACATGATTAGATGGTGTCACTTCAACATTTCTTTATAAGACAAGAGTCCTGAAATGAAACACAAAAAGGCAAAAGCTCTTTTTACAATAACAGCATTTTAAATTTGCTCAACAAAAAGAAAAAGAAAGAAAAAAGAAATGGCAGTTCATCTATTAGATTTGTAGCAAAAAAGGGGAAAAAAGAAAAGATGGCATAGTCCTTTCAGTTTCAGGGGAAGATGACCAGGGTATTGTCTTGTGTGTAAAAGCATCAGTTCATGCACACACGTAAGCACACACACACATTTCTTAATCCGCAGATGGGATTCTCTGCCCAGTCCTGTCCGGGATAACAAGTGAAGTAGCGCTCAAATTTACTTTGATTTTTTTGTTGTTGTTCTTTTTTTTTGTTTGCATCCGCATCCTTCCCTCAACCTGCTGGCTCCTTCTACTCAGTGATATCCTACATTTCACAGAATGACTTGACAACACCCTGAGAACTCGCTCGGACTTGTGTTTTACTTTAGCAACTGGACAGACGGACAGTGACATTGATTCTCCAACTGAAAGAAAACTAAAAAAAAAAAAACCACAAAACAAAACCCCGTACCCTTATTCAAGACACATCTTGTAGCTTGTAGCAATTGTGCCAACTATTGAGTTCGTCACCTCTTTCGCCCTGGACGATCGTTGAATATTGGTATAAAATCCTGCCCTTGCTCTTTGGCTCTTGGGGGCTGAAAACAAACATTAAAGCAGCTGTTTGAATAGAAATCTAATTCAAGAAAAAGGTTCCTTTTAAACTAAACTGTGGCTGAGCTCAAAATATCGTAGGAGAATTTACATTTGGCCAGTAGTACACCAAACAATAAAATGGGCCCAGGAATGCAAGGTGCATTAGCGATAGCTTTAACTGTGTTAAAGTGTGACTAATTATCTTTACACTTGCACATTTGGGCGGTGAGTGAAGTTTGGGGCTTGTATGGTTGATAAAATGGCGTACCAGCTTCACTAACAAAGTAATTTGGTGAGGTGACAGACAGAGCACTTCTACTGCACTCCTTCCCCAGCAGAGTATCATCCTTGTGGCCTCAGAGGCTTAGAGGGAGACGGACGCTGTGATCAGTGAGTGTGATAGCCAGCAGTACCCATGCCAGCCTGGTTGGTTAGCACAGTCCCGTTGACTCCTTGCCCAGCCTCCACCATGCCTCCATTGCTCATGGCACCCACACCTGTCCATCCAGCACCAGCATGTAAATGACTGCAACAGCACACAAAAACAGAACAATTAGAAAAAATGCAAAATACTGACAACTGCTTATGCTACCCCTCAGCCTCCTAGCAGAAACACCTATGATATCAACTTCAAAATCAAATTCAAAATTTTGACCTTGAGGTCAAGGTCACTGAGGTTCTAACTCATCAAAGATTTTTAGTAGATGCATCTATGGTATCAATTCCAAAAGCTTAGGTGACTGCCTTCTTGAGTTATCGCATTCACAAACTTAGGTGTCCAAGTCGCCCGCCCACCCACCCAGCCAGCGGGGTGACGACAATAGCAAATCAACCTTTTATGGCTAAGGGGTAAAAACAAATGCAGCCAAGTAAGACATGAACCAGAGTAAAGATGCACTGATCAGATATCAGCCCAATCCTCATATCACTAGTTTGGGTATTGGTTATTATTCTAATAGTAGACCACTAGTTCCAAGCAGGAAATAAGGTAGCAAATTATATGTTGATCCTGCTGCTGTCTTACACATTTAAAATAAATAAATTAATTAATACTGACAGCTGTCACTGCTACCACTAAGCCTAGTAAATGCAACTATAGCATAAATCTGAGGGTTAAAGCACAGACTACAGCTTATTTTTGATGCATTTACTAGCTGCTGGTATCAGACTGGTGCTCCATATCAGCAGAAAACAACTTTAAAGCTTTACTCATTTCTAGTTTCAATTAGAACTTCCTTTGCACATAATTTGAGCTGTTCAGATTCCATCAGATGCAGGGGTTTCAATGTATGAATTCCAACATGGGTTATTAAAAGGAATACAAGTTATTCTTATGCCAGCATTTTTCAATACTTTAACAGTATCTGAATTGAATTAAATGTGGACTTGCACTGCTCTGCATGTAGCCAAGAAAAACAAAGACAGACTAAAGTCAGACGACAATACTCCATCAGCCTTTTATGAGTGAGGGACTACACTAATACACAGTATAAAATATGGATGTAGCTTCCAGGTCAGAAGAGTGAATGAGCCTTAAAGTTGCATTATTTTTAGCAGGAGATGCTGCTGCAGCAAAAACACTTGTGGTCGTATAAAAGCCTAAAAGGGGAAAACAGCCCCTGTCCAGACCTCTGTCCAGACCTCTGTAAGTACTTTCCTGATGGGTTTGTGGATTCAGTCACTTATTTCTGCTCATGCAGAATAAAACCCTAAGTCGATTTTGGTAATTCCAAGTTTCAGAAAGGACAATTACCCAGCATGCATGTTAACTAGCTAACAACTTGTGAAACTACACTCGCATTGTGTAGCAATGTCTAATCCGTCCCTTGTTTGTCATTTTTGATTTAAAATACCAAGATGGCAACGACAGAACTGCTCAGCAGCTGGAGCCTGAGGCTTCATAACAGGACGTCACAAACCAGTGGGTGACAACATCCATATTTCTCACTGTCTTTAACTTTACTTCTGTCTTAAGCAGCCTACTGTTACCTAGGCTTCAATGTGCACTGTGCATTGTAAAGGCTGGTAGAAATTCTAAAGTATCAAGACAACATGAAAAATGTTTAATTCACTGTAATGTAAATAACAGCCCCTGACACAGAAAAGAAACAAAGCTGAGGTGAACAAACTGCTCACTTCTTTTGACTGTAATCATCTTTGGTACTTACTTGTAGCCCTGCTGATCCCAGGTCTGTCCATAGACGCTGTAGCTCGGCACCTGCCACCCATTGGGCACATACTGGCCAATCTGCTGTGTGTTACTGTACCACTGGCCCCACTGACTGTAGGGCTGCGCTGCGAAGCTCACTGTGTTCTGCTGACATGCAGAGTTATATTTTAGGAGGCAGACTATCACATTGCATCAAAATCACTCACAAGTACAGTCAGTCTCTCATTTGAATGAGTGGGTGTCATTGTAGTCGATCTGTAATACGTTCAGAATAAAATCTTAAAGGTTCATACCTGTGCCATCTGTACCTGCTGTATGGGACCCTGGACCATGTCTGTAGTTTCTTTACCCCAGTAACACTTAACAACATAGCCCTCTATGGAAGTGCCATTGACAGAGACAATAGCATGAGCTGCGGCCTCATGGGAGTTGAACCTGCACAAAAAAAGAAATAGGAAAAAGCGCAGGCATTAGATTGGATAATATTAAGACACCCTAAACCTAGGTGTGTTTGACAATTTAGACTTAGAAAGCATAACAACAAGACAACTTGCCTCACAAATGAATAGCCTTTCTCCGGGAAAACTCTGATTTCCATTATTTGCCCAAAAGGTGAGAAGGTCTGTCTCATAATTTGTTCTATGAACAGGAAAAACAGTTTTAATGTTGAATGTGTAGGCAGTGCTTGCAGCCCTGCAGCACAGAGGTAAACTGTGACTCACCTGTGAGTCCTGTTGTCACTCCTCCGCAGTAGACTGTGCAGTTGCTGGGGCTTGACTGGTTCACCACCTCATCAAAAGATAGCTGCTTGGTATTGGTTGCTAAAATGAGAAAAGAGAAAGACAAGGTTTCTTTTTTAATTAGCTTCGTTATCAAAATGTTTTCTTGCAGCATATTTGCTTTGGGCTAGTTTATAGTGCTAGTGCATTTATATTCATTTTGAAACAGAACACAAACCTGCTCCAACTTTTTTTTATTAGCCAAACACAGAAGAAACAAATCTGAACATTTAGAACTTTTATATTCTCGGGTTTTACCTTTTTTTTTTTTTTTTTTTTTTTTTAAGGGACTGTTGAAAAATATGCTTAGCAGCAACTTTAATTAAAAAACAAACAAACCAAAGAACCAAAAACAGACATGATTCCTATTGAGCAGTAAATAAGACCTGGAGTATCTTTGCACTGTTCGCACCAGAATACCCCTCCCCCAACCCTTGTTAAAAAATAGTAGTAGTAAATAAAATAAAAAAAATACAGATGCCGTTTCAATATCATGCAAATATTTATTGTTTCCCATATTTAGACAAGTCAAGTGTTGCTTTATCAATAAGCTATGGGCAGTTTTACAAGAGCACTTCTATTTGCGGAATGCCTCTCACTGGCACTGGCACACCCACTATGAGTGCTCTTCTTATTACCTTCTTGTGCATGTCCGCACGGCTTCCCTGACTCCTATTTTCAGGTTGCATCTGCAAGCAGGAACTAAGGGACGATCATGCATTCAAGAAGTTATCAAACTATATTTACACACTGCCTATTATTATGTAATGAGCTACAACCAGAAGTAGGTGGTGGTAATAAAAGTACAAGCTTTTACCAACCATTAAAAAACAAAAACAGAAGCACAGCGGACGTATGTAGTGCGGGGACACGACACAATATCATACAAAACCACACGCATGGTCTGTTTGGTCTGACACACGCACACACAACTGAACTCTTCAGCTGAAAACTGCTGGTTTGGAGCTGGAGACTAGTGTTTCTCCATAAGAAACATGTTTCTGGTTAGAATAGAAACTGATGTCTGAGGTGGTGACACAGGTAAGTGCAAGCAGTGAGAAAGGGGCTTTAGGGAGCGATATAAAAATAGCAGCTATATTGAAAAGCAGTCCAGAGATGCACAAGAGGATTTACTTCAAGAGAAAAAAGAAGGGAAAGAGAAAAGAAAATCTCCCAAATCTTCATTCTCACTCACTTTCACTTGTAGTTTTTGGAGCAGGCTTCCTTGTAGCCCAGTTAGTCCTGATCTGCCTCCCTCCCAACCACTGTCCTCCCATCTGCTGAATGGCATTCTCTGCATCCTGATTACACAAAGCAAGCACAGAAGAAAAAAACAAGACATTTGTAAACATTATCAAATACAATATGGAAATCCTGTCTCTGACTTAAGTGAAAAATCAGAACCTGTTTCTGACTCCTCTAACACGGTCATAATTTACACACTTACCCACTTGTTGAAGAAGGAGACAAAGCCATAGCCTTTAGATTTACCTGTGGCCATGTCTTTCACCACCCGACAGTCCCTGCAAACAAATGAAACTCGGTCAAAACAAGCAGCTTGAAAGACTGAGACCTATAAAGAATATATTTTAACCGAATATTACCAAATATTGACCATGTAAAGCTAGCATTTGCAGCACATTAAATCATTTTCCTACAAGAGTCAGAGCCAACCAGTGTTCACCTTCCCTGATTCATATGGTTTCCAAAAATAAAAATGTATCAAGTGATGGTCCAGCACTAGAACTACTGAGGAATGGGCCTCACATTTTCAGCAATAAATTCCAGCATATTTCCATGATGCTTTCCTCCTTATGAAAGCACCAGCAGATCTGGTTAGATTAGTGCGAGTTTACCAACTATTAAGGTAGTGTTTGCTAATACCTACAATGGCCTTTACACCATATCTATTAATTCATTTCACAAACCAGTGGAAGTCAGACTGGGTGACACAGAAGCACTGGTTACTAGCACATTCTCGATTGTGCTGTTTTCAGCTCACAAATTTCCAGAAACTAAATATCACAAGAACACACTTACGATATTTTTCCAAATGGAGCAAAAGCTGCTTTTATGTCATCTGTGGTGATTTCAGGACTTAGATCTCCAACAAAGACATGGAAGTGACCTTAAAAAAAACAAAGAAAAATAAACATAACACAGTAAAACACAAAATTCATTTATTTATTGACCAATGTTCCCTGTTTAAAAAGCTAAGACGACCCCAGAGAATACTGTGCAACCACATCACCAGTTTTACTCACTGCTTGTGTCTTTCTTTTGACTGGTTGGTGTAGTAGCCCAGTTGACCTTGACTTCCTGCAAGAGAGAAAGATGCAGAAAGCGAGGAAGAGGACAAAGGTGAGACATGTAGCGCGCTTGTGGAAGGAAGGAAGGTTGTTTTTCTGTGATTAGAGGCTTTTTCACACACCACTTTTACTTAGGCCACATTTTGTGATTGAGAACTTTTTTTATATAAATAAGATGATCTCTGTATGTCACATTTGGGTTCTTAAAGCACCAACACAAACTGATTTATCCATTGCCATTTAATTTTATACACCTTTGCAGTAATTAATACACAGTAAAAATACAGTGGCGTACACAGAGGGATATCAAGATTTCACCTTCATAATCAGGAACATTTCACTCTCAGTCTAGTAAAAATTTGGAGCAAAACTGTAGGAAGTAAGGTCCAAATAACAAGGGACTTACAAACAAGTGATTTTTACGAACTTGTTATACTCCTCAAATGGTCCTTCAATACCTGTTGAGGATAAAATATTTTCAACTGAATGTATTTTTCTTGGAAGTAGCTCTTATGTGGATTCTATGTGGAAATAAGTTTGCAAAAGAACACACAGCAGTAAAGATGTAGGGGGACAGAAGAGCATCAATCAAATGAGATCAGAGAATGTTACATGATTACACAGCAGGGCCACGGTAAATTAATTCATACACAGATGGAAACTCACTTAAGGAACATCGGCATTTAAAAACAGGCACAGCATGGAGCATGAAATGACAGTAAAAGGCAGCACTGTGTTTATACCCACTCACATACTGGATTTCACTTTCTATGTCAGACACTGTACTGTAACCTACAGAGCCCCTGAAATACCATATGGTGACGTTTACGAAAAATAATATAAAATTTAAAAAAAAGTTTTCGTTAAAATAAAATAAATACATAAATAAATGTATTTATTAGCCAGGAATTTCTGTACCTTGTATATACGAGACACACTTAATGTTATGGGACTTCAGGAGTTCTGTAATAATTCAAAACAGCTGAAAAATAAATAAATAAATAAAACACTGTATTTAAAGCTTCAGTGACCACATTTATGCACTTTCTTCCTTTTTGTGATTTTCTAGTCTAAGGTTAAAATTCTAGCGCTTCCATTCTATACATGAGCCGTAACTATGGCGTTCAATTAAATTGTTACTGGCCTTGAACTAGAATGAAAACTTCACCCAACAGTGTGTTCAGACCAAATGTGAAGTAAAGATAAATATAAACATTGTGGAAGCTACATATTTGTGTCAAACAAAGGCAAAGACATTAGTTACAAAATTTATAAACTCTGGCACCAACTTTGCTTTATGCTCCATCACCAAAGTATCAGCTGTTGTTTCTCCTGATTACACTAATTAGCAGAAATGGGGGATAAGCTTAAAGTCACAACACAATTTGAGTCAGAGTGAGAGAGAGCGAGAGAGAGCGAGAGAGAGAGAGAGCGAGAGAGCGAGAGAGCGAGAGAGCGAGAGAGAGAGAGAAAACAGGACTTGAAGTAAAGTAAGAGAAGTGACTCTACTTCCTGGTGAGGTCTGAAATATGTTTCTGTCAACTGCATCTAGCTGACAGTGAAAAGTTGGACACTTTATTCGTGTGAGTAAAGTCAGGAAAACATCTGTTTGGTCTGAACAAACAATAGGTGGCAGCTCTAGAACATAATTGACACATCAACTGTTGTCCCACTAAAATTTGATTGATAGATTTTCTCATTTTTCATTCATTTTCATTTCATCTGTAAAAAATAATTGAAATAAAAAATAAATTATTTATTTAAACAAATTAATAACCCAACTGGTAAAATTACTAAAAACAAATTAACAAAAAGGTCATATCTTTGATGTCTGTATCAACAAAATATCGAATTAAATATTATTTAACTTTCTGAGAATCTCAAAATACTCTACCGCTGTTAATCTACCACAGTGAAAAGAATATGCCATTAAGTCATTTTTGCATCTAATTTCTTTGGTTTGCATGATTTGCAGTCACTTCTTGATGTGCAGCTACTGATTTGAGTTAATTCCACACAACCAACAGAGCAGCAAACACACAAAACCAAAAGCTCACACTGTTGAGAACCAAGACTACATATTTTTAGGATTCATAAAGTTCACAACAGTAAGATTACACAGATCAGTGCTTAGTGTTCTCACCCTGGTCATTTCAGACTGTGCACAGAAGAATGGTTTGCACAGGGGAATTAAACAAATTAAGTGAAGTGGAGCAGGAACAGGGCAGTGTGATAAGGTTTAACAAGATACAAGTTTCTCCACACGCTTCATTTCAAATTGTGCCCACCCAGCCTTGACCTAGTTGACTCACCCAGGAGATACGATAGCTTACCTTACCCAGAATTTTCCGACCATTCATGGCTGCGATTGTGGCAGTGGCATGTCTATGCTCATAAAACTCCACAAAGCAGTACGGATCGTGACCTGCTGTCTGGGTTGGAGAGGAAACACATAAGTTATGTTACTGTGAGCAATATGAAAGCTTGAATAATTATGGTGACGTCATTGTTAAGCATTAAATTGGGAGGATGCAACACCAATGCAAAATGGAGAAAAAAAAAAGGATGAACATTACAAGAGTCAAGCAAGTAGCTAAACCAGATTGCAAGGGCTGAAAAGAAAATGAGAAGAAAAAGAGTTACGGAAAAATAAATAAATAAATAAAATAAAAAAAACCTCACATCTACTATCATTTTGCAGCTTTTGCAGGGTCCGATTTGGCCAAACAACTCCAAGATGAGTGCCTCGGTCACATCCCGGGACAGATTTCCCACATACCTAGATGCACAAAAACAAACAACAGACGGGAGACAGTCAGTGCTGGCTAGTTTTTCAAAGTAGCCATCGATGGCTGGTGCAGATGCTCTAACAGGGCAACAGGGTTTCCCTTCTCTAAAAGTTTACCATTGTTAAAAAATTAGCCCAGGGAAACATCTTTCCTAATCCATTTTTAACCTAACTCCAGAAAATGTTTGAAGCATCACGTCAGGACACTGTAAGAAGTTGTTGTTTCCCATTTTTAGCACATTCATATCAGCCTCACCCTCATTACTGGAAATACTTTGTTTCGTTTTAAATAAGGGAGGTTTCTGGGTAGACTGTGCAGGAGGCCAGACGCATCATAACAACTTGATAGATGTGAATTCGCTGGACCATTACATGTGTAATTCCTAGACCAGAACAACTCAGCAAATCACAACCACATACCACGCATTCATCCAATCCAACTGTATAGGACATATGCATTATCGTATACCCCTCCTTTGGGTACGGTCTAGAAAATTTCAGACAGGTGGAGGTGATTGCTTTCTTGTAATTTCTTGGAAAAGATAAAAATAACAAGGCGGTACATGTTTCCATAAGATGGCAAAGCAGCTGACATGATCATGTTTCGATAAAATACAATCACTGATTACATTCTGTGTTGGGATAAATATTCAGTTAAAATATTGCCACAAGCTAAAATGACAAGTAATTGTTATGAAATTAAATTTCTCTACTATGAAAGCATTCCATATCAAATACACTTCAAAATACTGGTGTTTTTTTGGTATGATATCTTGGATTAACGCTGAAGCCCAACAAGGATCAATTTAAAGCTTTTTACACACTGGAAGATGGTTTAATCTCTAAAAATATATCATACTTACTGAGTTGATAAAAGGGTTTGAATTTAAGATGACGACTTACGGATTAAAACAATAAAAAAAATAAACAAAACAATATCAGCACCAGACATCACTATTAGTCCACTTGTAAGGCTCCATTAAATGCAAATTTGAACGCTATTTATGCTTAATGCTTGATTCTGTAATTAGAGCATTTAAATGTCAGCCAAAGAGTAGGGAGAGGTTTAAATAAAGAAATATCAACCATGTCTTTTAAATAGAACTGTTTTAAATAGAATTAATCTTCCCCAAGGTAATAAAAACCCGTTTTCATAATCAAATCAACATTGGCTGACACCATGTTAACACTTAAAGCATCAAACGCATATACATATATGTACAGTTTCCTGGCCTATACAATGGTGACTCTATCAGGGTGATGGCACGTCGAACTCCATTGAAAAGCCAGCTAGTTTAATGTCCTTCTGCTTATTGCAACACTTAACAGCGCTATAGAGAAGTCTCTGGTACATTTAGCGAGTCTCCCCAAGTTACTACTTAAAGTGTCGTTCACTAAGCATACCAACAGTTATTTATTTTAGAAACAATTCAACTTTCACGCCGTCTTATTCACAGCAAGAAACGTGAACGGACGCGTTAATTTGAGATTTTTCTGGAACTAGCTAGCAGGCTAGCATTAACCAATGTGTCGACTATACCAGAGAAAGACCGTTACCATGTGTTTAGATGTTATAAACGCGTTGTTATGCTACGTTTAACAAAAGCTTACACAAGACATTCAACTGTTATTATATAGACGGGAGCCTCCAATGTGCCTGTCCTAAAGAAACAACCGCTTCGAGACCGGAGTCAGCCCTGGAAACTGCCGCTGAGCATTACGTGACGAACACAAGCGTTTAGCTAACGATAAAGGCATACACTTACAGGGTTTTGGGCTGGTCATCGTCCATTCTGTTTCAGTTGCTGGCCGAAAACAAGTCGCAACCCCGAGTGCAAATCCACGACTGTCGCGGGCAGCTGCCGGTGACACTGTCAAGTTATTTTATTGCGAACTGGTTTATCGCCGTTGTTAGCTCAAGAGTGAACAATGGGCAGCCGAAAAAGATGGCGGAGCAACTGGAGGCCGACGCGAGTCCCGCATGCGCAGTAGTTCAGTCCAAAGGCAACTTCTAGACAGGTTACAAAATAAATAAAATAATAAAGTGTAAATTAGATGACAAAACGCGCATAATTATTACACGAAAACATGTAAAAGCACGTGTAAATGTTTCTTTTCTTCTATAATATATGCATTACAAGTAGATCTCTAATCAATAAAATATGTAAAGACCTGTGCGACTTTTAATAACTTCATTCAATCCCGCTGTTTTTTATATTCTCTTTTGTGTAAAGTAACTACACTTTGGGAAACGTGTATCTGAGAATGTATATTTAAGTTTTGGATTTCTCCTCTTTTCTACATTTGAGAGGCAAATATTAGGACATGCAATATATTACAATTTAAATTATGTATACACAGATGGATAAAGCTGATGAGCCATACTACAAACAAATGGGAAGAAGTTGTTTAAGCTAGGTTAAGAAAAGAGGTGACAATCAGTGAGCAGCAGTGGGGTATAGAGGGTGGCAGAGGGTGGTGCAGGACATGCGAGGACAATGAGACAGTGGTGAGGTGTGCAGTATGAATGACAGATGGGTTTCCGGTGGGAAGGGAAGAGTTACATCAGGGCTGGCCTCTGACTCCCCTCTTGTTTGCAGTGGTGATGGACAAGTTCACAGATGGGGTTTGGTAGGACTTGGCATGGACTATGATGTTTGCAGAGGACGCTGAACTGTAGTGAGAGTAGAGAGCATGTGGAAGATAACCTAGAGAGGTGGAGGTATGCCCTGGAGAGAAAAGTAATGAATAAAGAGAAGAACAGCCAGACTGCTTTGAGCTGATTGGAGGATAGCAGTAAACCAAATAACCAGAGTACAAGCAAGGTATGCAGAAGAGCGTCTCTGAATTCACAACATGTTGAACCCTGAAGCACATGGGATATCTGCTGCGACATTCAGATAGTAGGACCAGAATTTGGTGTAAACAAAAGAAAAATTCTACACATATTCCTAAAATGAGATTTGTTTTCCATTTTATTGATAGTTTGTGGCATTGAAAAACTGCAATACTTAAACAGCTTTTTGTAACATCCAACAAACATTATTGGCAAGCCTCCAAACACCATTTATAAAGCTATACATTTATACAGTATAGTGCAAGTTTCAGTTGTCACTCTTCTTACCAGTGTGTTATTTGTCTTTGGTAGGTTTTGTGTTGCTTTCTGTTTATTTTATTATTTTTTGTGGAAATTGAAATTTTGCTTATTAAAAATATCAGTGGAATCAGTCCTTCCACATGTGACCTGCTGTATAGCCACGTGAATCCAATCACAACAGAACCACCACACGTTTCTAAAAAATTCAAGCTATTGTGATGTAAACAAAGTAAGAAACCTAATTTATTCTTAACTCTGATGCTTCAAGTACAACATTTATTTGTCAGTAATTTACTTACAATTAATGACAAATACATAAATTATATTTATCAGCATATACAAGTGTTTTTACAAAAAACCAAAAAGGAAAAAAGTCCCCTTATGTCTCATCGTTTCCATCCTTGTACTCTGATCGCACAGTCCGACACAGTGCAAACAGCAGGAGAAGCAGAGCTGACAGGGCCTGTCCTCTCTGCTCTGACATGCCCTCATCTGGGGCAGATGCTGTGGTCACTGAGGAGTTTCTCCATCCTCTTTATCTTGCGCTTGTTCTTTGGCATGGGCTTGTCGTACATGCCGTTCTTCAGCAGATGTTCCTTGCTATGATGGATCTGAGCGCCGTGCTGAAGCTGGAAGGAGCAGAGTGCTTTCAGGGGCTTGAGCAGAACCTGCACACGCACAGATGGGAATGGACGGAGAACGCGATAAAGAACACCATGCTCTGTGTTTTGACATGATTCATGATAATGAACCTACAAAGAATTACTGCCCAGCTTCTCACGCACTCTTATCTCCAAGCTTCATTTTACCATCCTTTTACCCTTTTCATTTAGCCTACCCACTCATCACCCTTGTTTTAAGAAGGCAGCAGCAAAAAACTCATTTTATTCTAAAGAGCGGAAATGTCCATTTAGCAATGATCTGCTGAACACAGTCAAGCATTTAGCATTAAAATCTAGATATTTATCTCAGCAGTTGGTAGAGACTAAACACAGAGTTAAAAGTAATGCAAATATTAGATGTAAAAATAATTATGATTCTGTATACTACAGATTTTAGATATTTATTAAACTACTATATAACCGTTTTGATATTTTACCTCTTGGATCTCATCATTCCGCTCCAGGATCGACAGAGCGACAGCGGCACATTCCAGAGTAGACAGACAGATGTTGGAAGGTTGTGTGCGGATCACGTATTGACTTGATAAAGTCCTATTGAGCTGCACCTGGTAAACCAAAGCAGAAGTGATCAGTAATCACAATGTTGATGTATGAAAAGCAATGAATTTTATGAAAGCTGTAATTCTTAAGGAATGCACCACACTGGCAGTTTTTCATTTAGGGCTTTCAGCGTTCATCTCTGACAGGTGTGAAGTTTCAAAGTTATGGTTTGTCCATAAACACGTGATCAGAGCTGGAACATCTTCTAATGTTGGTTGTCAACATTACACACATTCAACTTAGAGGCGGACTGACACAGAATTTATGACACAGATTTATCTGATATCAGATATATGAGCTAATTTTTCCCCCCTTTCGGACTTCTGTGTTTCATTTACTTGTTTACGTTTTCCCTCACTCTACCTGGATCAACTGATTTGTGTGTTTGTGGCGTTGTATTGACTAATCACGTTTGTGCACACCTGCATGTTATAGTTCTGTGTCAGTTGGACACACAAATCCAAATTTTCCACCCAATTCAGGCTTTAAGACCCTAGAAAGAAAAAAGGCTTAGCAACTGAGAGAACAGAGTTTATATTCTCTACAACGTCCTTTAATATGCGCACCTGCTTGGGCAGGTGGAAAAGGCTGTTTTTGAGGAACATGTTTTTGGCTTGGCTCCATGTGCCGTCTATGATGATGACATTATATTTCGCAGTGCCCACTTCTTGGTATTGCACCAACTCCTCAAGGTTCTCCGATTTAGGTCCTGGGTACAGAATCAGCGTTCTGCTGTCCCGGCACACCGCAGCCAGCTCCGGGTGCCTGCACAGAAAATAAATGAAGGCAGAAAATAAAAATTTAAATATAACACATATTTAACTACGCTCAATTAACGCATACTTACTTTTCCTCATTAAATCTCCTTCCAACTATGACATTGCATTTTCCTTGTGGCAAGCAAGCAGCAAGTAGAGGAACTGTGCGGAGTACTCGGCTCTCCTGCAAGAGATCGAAACCTTTAGTCTCTCATGTTAACCTTTTATAAAATGTGTGTTCATTACTGTCATGAAAGCCGCACATTATAGAGTCCACTGTCAGGAGCAAGACAGTAATCTGATTCCAAAGCATTCAAACACACCCGATGGCGATGTCAGGGTGATACACTGAGAAATGAGACACTGATGTTCTTCTTATTCATCCACTAACTCTCAACACAATATCAGTCTTGGTCTGGTGCAGATGTACATGTATGCATCTTTCTGGATATGGGTCAATATCAAAACTTGCCTTTAATGGAAATAAGTCAGCAAAACATGCGTGGAAATGGTGCGATGTAGAAATTGTTCTTTCAGATAGTTTGATTAATAAAATAAGCTATGGTTGTATCAGCTGATACAGGCATCAATGTATATGGTTGCCATTATTATTATTATTATTATTTATTTTACAGGAAACAGTTTTTCCAGCAGAGTGGACATCTGTACCATCATGCAGGATTTTAGATTAGCGAGGTAACTTAACTGGGAATTTTCCGTTTTAGTGCAAAGTGCAACTAATGTCACTGTTTGTTTTGATAGTAAGATTATTATAGTCCATAATGTTTGTCTCTACAATTAATACTTTTGGGTGTTTATTTTGCTTAAATATTCATCAGCATTTTTAAACCAAATCAATCTTAAACAGTTACAGTCATCTTAGTGTAAAATTCCCTCTCTCTTTGTTACTTTATCAGCTTTTCTGCTGATTCAATTAAACCCATGTCCTATAATATATTATTGTATATAGCATTTGTATTCTATTTTATACGATTGTATATAGCATTTTATTTTTAATTTATTTTATTCTACTCTATTGTGTACTGTATCTCATAGATATATTATTCCAGTGTTTTTTCTCTAATTTTTCTATGTAACTTTGCACTGTCCACTGCTGTAACAAAACAAATTTCCCCACGCGTAGGACTAATAAAGGTTATCTTATCTTATAATAGTTTATTACTTATATCCTATTTTTGTCAGCCAGGTCTCAAAGTGAAACTCATGCAAGATCAACTTGCTAGGCAAAAAATAACCCATAGAGGCTCAAATCAATGTGCAATACATGCATACAACAATACAGCTAACACTACCACACAACATAAAGTTTAATCTAACAGATTTTTATAAACAATAACAGTGACTTTTGGAGGCTTTTGAAAGACATAGATGTATTTTTGAAGCTTCACAAACGCTACATTTAAACAGATCAAGGACTCTGGGTCTTAAAACATGACTTTTGACTCACCTCTGCAGGATGCTGCACTACGTACAGACATGTGGAGACCTCCAGAGGTTGTGGTGGAAGAAAAGGACATAGACACACCTTCTGAGGGCGACTACATGGGAGGAAAGTTGAAGACGTGAGGCTGTGTTTTCCCAGTTACTTCCCAGCCTATAGCCCCCATCTGTGTGTGTTTCAGCTGGTCTTGAGCTTTTCTGTAACGACACGGATCTGTTCCCTCATTAAAGCATGCCAGCTACGCGAGGAGACGGGAACATTCATACGCCGCCTGGATCAACCAACTCGGCTAACTACTAGCATGAGCTGCTCTTTAATTCAACTCACCGGCAACGGAAACATGTCGGTCTTCTCTCGCCAGCCTCCACCGGAAGGGCAGCCAGATCCCCAAAAGCGTCAACCAACCCGTCCTCCATCGAGGAGCCGTCGCACATTTCTGGGGCGTTTTGTATCTCTTGAGTGACGGCGGGACACAGACTGGGAGCGCAGTCCATTGTGGAGTTAGCAACAAGCTAACCTGTGCGAGTACCCAAACACTGCGCCGTCTTCTGGTGTAGAAGTAGACCGACTAGAGAGAGAAGGCACACGGCGGCGTAATTAAAAGTGTTTCGTAGAGTTCACAGTGCGTACGCTTTATATTTCGGGTATATACCTCGCCTCTACAATGGATGAAAAGAGATGAGTACACAATGCACATAACTGCTGGTGGTAGGAAATGTTTATTACAGGAGAGTCCGAGGCTGAATTCGTTTATACAAAGTGTTTCTCTTCTTTTTCTTTTCCTCCCATCTCCTTTGGTATGCGTCTATCGCGTAGTATGTTATATACATTTAGAGTTGGATGGCTAAAATAACTTGTTTAATAATCATAACAGACACCTTTTCTGGCTACGCTTACCTCGTTAGTAAGGTAAGAGTAATGATCTATGGGGCGACTTCACTTGTTGCTACTGCAAGGTTAACCAGTAAAAAGACTAAAGCTAGATCGATATTATTAACCAGTATTAGCCATTATCACAGGTATATATGATATTAGCCCAGATGATTTCCCGTATATGCTAACAGAAATTAACACAGAACTTTTTGACATCCGGGGTCTCAATACAGATACAGATACTAAAATTAAGACTAGTTCCTTATTTTGTCACATCTATTTATTTATTTTTTGTCATATCCAAGATCAGTGGTGCAAAGTGAGCTTCACAATAAGCTGTTAACTATTTAGTTTGGAAGTTGTGTGTGACTAAATAATAACCCCATCATTTCCCCCTTTCTCATAAGATTCAAATATACTCTCAATATGTGTATGTATGCATATAATCCAGACTGCTTTCATGCATCATTGGTAAAAACGCCAATCATGTCAGAAACAGAATACTTTTATAATCTCTAAGGACAATATATATATATACTGGTATATAAATCGGTATATATTCAGTTTGCCATCATATGCAACAAAGAAAAATAATATATTATTGTTTGAAGAGCTAAAAAAAAAAGAAGCAGCTATTTAAACTTTCATTGTCGAAATTGTGTTTCATTACAATTTTTGCTGTCCTTCTCAGGATGATTACAGATGTTCATAATCAGTTCATAGGCATAAATATAACAGCAATCATTTTGTTATACTCGTCGTTGTTTTGTTTTTCATTTTCAGTCAGTTAGCTGTTTGCTGTTCAAAAACTCAAGTTACCAACATGCACTGACACATCCGTTCTATTTATTGTATTTCTGCGACACAGTTGCTTGTAAGTTGTTAGTACTTCATTAACTCAGGGCTGCCACCTGTCGGTGTGGAGGAAAAGGGTTATTTTAAAAAGTACGCTGGGTGTCGCCAAAGGCTATTTAATGTAAAAGTAAGGCCGCTTTAATATACTTGGAAACACAGCTTTTGCCCCACGGAAGCAAAATAGTTATGTACACTTAGTTGCGTATGCATTTTATTCACACATCGTTTGTCCATTTGAAAATGGATATCTGTGAGTTTGTTTATAGTTTGACTTTGAAGGTCAGTCGACACAGGGTCACAGCTGAGGCTTCAGAACGCACCTTGGATTCAGACGTAAAGCAACTACTGTACAGTGTATCTGCAAGCAATGCAAACATGCAGAATACTGTACACCACAGTGCAAAAATTTAAAAAAAAAAACAACCCCAAAAAGTTTCTCTATGTGCATACATTGGGGAATATTTTGTTCATTTTGAGACAGCTGTGCTAAAGCAGACTAAAATGAGCTACGTTTGGTTAAGTTGGAGATATCTCTTCGATGATGCAGGAGAAATATACGTAACTTTTATAAATGCCTTTGAACATTTTTATGATAATTTTTTTTAAAAGCATTTGCAAAATTTTATAACATTTGATGAAGATCTTTAATTACAGATTATTTTGACAGGGTGCTAAACATCACACCCCATTTGGCTTAGCGACAGATGCACATTGTCAAGAAGTTTCACGTTCCAAGCACATCCGTGATTAAACAAAGATTTGCAGGGTGGATAATTTGTCAGGAATAACCACAGGTAAATAGGCTCATCTGCACGGATCACAGACTCTGTCTTGGATGTTTACAAGCGGTTGTGCGGAACACAGGCTCCCAGTTTAGATAAGGTGTCGAGTTAATGGCCAGAAGGGCTTATTTATAGCTGAAGATGCACCCTGACACCGTACAGACACCGACACATGCACGCTTATCCTTTTTATTTGCACATGTGAACCACTCTCATCAATCATGCTATGACTCATGCGCTATTGGCAGACAGTTTGGCTTCACCTGCAGAGACAAAGGATATATGATCAATCTGAAGGCAAAGGTTTTAGATAAGACTTTGATTATATATGCAAATCTGAGCTTTAAGAATTTATCTTCATTTAATGCACTTTACATTTACTGACATTTTAAGCCCAAATATGGATATTGATCTGTTACAGCACTTAATACCAAATTTATTGAAAAAGACTGTAGCGCACTAAAGTATTACACACTGTCCTTTGTTTTTGGCTTGCTCAGTTGGAAAAACTGTCGAACTATCTTCTTGTTTCTCAGCATTATTCTCTGTTGGATCTGTTTCTGATGACTTAACATCTGTCTCTAGTTCAGTTTGTTTTGTAACTGTTTCGGTCTGGCTTCTTTCTCCTTCTTCTGGTTTGGGGTTTTCTCCTTCAGTTGGCTTTCCATCTCTCTCATCTCTGGTGGTCACTTCATTCCCGTCCTGTACGCTTTCAGCTTCTGTTTTGGCCACAGCCAACGCATTCTCTTCTCCATCTCCGTCGCCTTCATCAGCAGTCTCTGCCGGCGATGCCGTCTCTTTCTCCTCCTCTCTTTGCTCCTTCCCTCCAGCCTCTTCGTTTTCCTGCACAATTGGAGTCAGAGGTGTTAGATCTAGACACGTCTTAGGAGGGGATGCTACTTTTCTCCTAGGAGGAGCGACTGGCTTGTCTATTTCTGAATCTTTTTTCCACAAATCCCGAACACAGACATTGCTCTCTTCCAAGGCTGCGGGATGATCATCTATACTTGTCCAGTCTGCTTCCTCTGAGGGAAACTCAAAGCAAGAGATGCTAAGTTCATCGACTGGGATTTCTGTTGGTTTTTCAACTGTTATAGACACACTCCTTACTGTCTTGGATTTACTCTTTTTTGCTGTTTGTGTGTCGTCTTCTTCCAGAAGTCGAGGGAAAGGCTCTATGTCGCACGGAGAAGAATTGGCGCTGGACCTGAAGAAGTCTGTAATATCCTCCTCTGAGTTAGGCACCTCTCCTTTTTCAGGTTTGGTCACAAAAACATCAAGATCATACAAATCCTCGGACATTATCCGAGGTCCTTCCTCTGGGCATTTTTCTTTATCTGTTGGTTCCCCCTCCACAACAGGAGTCTCATCTATCAGGACATATTTCTCTAAATATCCCCTGGCCTCTCGGTCTGAATGCCTGCTGTGGAAGGACTTCTCCGAGGTCACACTTTCAGTGTCTTCTTCTTTTTTCCGGCTGCCGAGTGCTTCCTCGTAAAGGTCTGTATAAAGAAAGGCCATGGCTTTGGGTTCCTCCAGCAAAATGGGATCAATAATTTTCGGAGGCCCTTCGGGTAGAAAGATTGGTGTGAGGACATCTTCTTGGCTTCCAAACAAATTCGAACCACTCTGTTTTGAGGGAAGCCTAGATAGTGCACTTTCTGCTGCTCCGCCTCCATCTGTTGCCCCTGGACCTTTCAGAAAGTATTCGTCTGTACCGCCATAAAAGACTTCATCTAAAAGCTCGTTAGCAAGTTCCACCAGACTGATTGTGTCTGACTTGTCAACATCTGCACCTTTGGTGCTGGTGCTTTCTTTAGTCTGTGCATGTTTCTCAGTGTACTGACTCTCAGTAGCAGTCTTTGCCTCTGGTTCCACCTGTCCTCCTGCAGCCACAGCAGGACCTCCTGGAGCTTGAGCATCAATCAGGGCGAATGCCTCAAAGTAGTCCACATTTCCTGCTGCTGCTCTGCTTTGCATTCTGGCCACGGGAGCTCCCGGTGGATCCATGGAATCTAGATCCACAGGAGGGTGGGGGCTGGCTTGGTAATCTATTGTTGGGCTCGTCTCTACTGAGATCAGCAGCTCATTTTCATGGATCTCCTCACTAGCTTTAGGAACAACACTTTCCTCCAGGTATGAAAGATTGTCCACCATTTCTTTGCTGACTTCTTCATCCACGGTGGCCAGTTTTTGGGGAACAACAATGTTGAGGATTTCAGAGCCTTCTGACACTAAGCTGAACAGCTGCTGCTCTTTGTCTTCCTGAGGATCAGTTGTTTCCTCTTGGTCTCCTTCTCCGTCACTTTTCAAATTTGGTTGAGAGACTTCCACTAACTCTGGCCGCCCTGAGATGTTCTCAGAGCTTTCTGCCAGGACTTCTCGCTTTCTATCTGCTTTGCTTTTCGGCCCACTTGCCCTCTCCTTGGTTGTCTTCCTTCTTGAGATAAGCTCCTCATCCATGACAAAAATGATTTTGCCTGCTGGATGAGACCCAGGTGTTGCAGGCTGTATTGCACTGAGATCCACAGAGGGGAGTCCAGCTTCAGACATCCATGGTGTGGTGCAGCGACTGGGGGTCGTCTCCCATGCGATTCCGCTGTCCTCCCCTTGCATAGTTACCATGGAGAAGGAGGAGTCCATCATTAGGCACTGCATCTTAGGCCGGACATTATCATCGTGGACAGCCTCGCGTAAGCTGAAGGCACAGTAGCGCAAAAATATTGGGAGGTTAAGGGAAAACTATACAAAATATGTCCTAATAACTTCTAAGTTGTTCTTTTGCTTTAATACTTTTTGCACTGCGCCTAAAGCGAGAGAAAGAGTCTCAACTTATATTCACCAAAGTCTGAACTGCATAAAGCATCACATCTATCAACCTTTGAAGATGCTTGTTGTGCTCCATGAGCATTTTTACGTCACACAAGTGTCATTAAGTAGGAAGAAAGAAAGAAATTTCACCCTGCAGAACTTCCCATTCTGCTTGACCAGTGCAAACATACGAACATGTGGCATTTCCTCCATAAATTCAGCATATTTTATTACTGTAAAATAAATGTTTCACCACAGACTCTAATTCCTAAATGATCAAAAACTTTCGTCTGTGGTAAAAAACAAAAACAAAATTGCAAAACAAATCTCATT